AGCACGGGGTGGTGGCCCCCTAGGGAGGAACAGCTAAGACGGGGGCGGGGTTGGTTTTCGGGAATGTGAAGGACTTGTTCAGGAAAGGCCTGGGGTCTGAGGAGCAATGGCGGCAGAGGTCGGGGGTGACAGCAGGAGCCCCAGCTTCGGGGGTGGGGGCAGGGCCTGGCTCACAGCCTCTTTCTGGCGAGGGTCAGCAGGCAGGTGCTGCCCTCCCAGGGGCTGAGAGCAGGTTGGAGGAGGAGGGGATTGAAGGGAAGGTGATGATCCCCTGGGACGTGGGGTGTGACAGCGACCAGCAGATGCGGGCCAGAGACAGCGCCCCCAGGGTGGGACCCGGGTCAGAGACGGTGTCCCGCCCAGGGGGGGAACCGAGGCGGGCTTCTCCGGCTCTGATGCACACTCCCGTCCTGGGGGCTTACCCCATGCAGATTCGGACTCTGGAGTCCCAGTGGGGCTGAGATTCTTCTGCTTGGTCCTGCAGCTACTGCTGTCTGCAGCCCACTTTCTGGGGAGCTGGGGTCTGAGGACCCAGTGGGGGGGTGGGCACTGCGGGGGCCAAGACCTGATGGAGTTCAGTGGGGTAGGGGCTGGGTGATGGGACAAACTTGCATTTGGGGGATTCAGTGGCAAGCGGCAAGGATGGGGGCCTCCCCCCGACCCCGATCAAGAATCCGGAGCTCTGGTGCGCCCCACGGGTGCAGATGGAAGGGCTCGGAGGCCGGGCAGGGAGCTGTGCGCGTTGGTGAGCTCCCTGTTCCCGCCAGGCTCTACGGCGAAGCTGGAGACCGTGCTAGGGCGGTGCGGGGTGACACTGACGGCGGCAGCACAGGGCCCCTCCCGCCTGACGCCTGTCCCCCCGCCCGCCCCTGCAGTTTCTGAGCGAGGGCTACGCCGCGCACCTGGCGGTGCTGGAGGCCGGCCACCGCTCGCGCCCCAAGAAGAACAACTCGAGAATGGTCCTGCGCAAGGGCAGCTTTGGCCTGCACGCCCAGCCCGAGTTCCTGCGCAAGCGGAACCACCTGCGCCGCACCATGTCCGTGCAGCAGCCCGACCCACCCGCCAACCCCAAGCCTGAGCGGGCGCAGAGCCAGCCCGAGTCTGACAAGGACCACGAGCGGCCCCTGGCCGCGCTCAGCTGGACACGCGGGCCCCCCAAGTTCGAGTCGGTGCCCTGAGGACCGGGCTGTGTGCAGAGCAGGGGGGCCCTGCCGGCTGCCCGCGGGCTGGGAGGGGCTGCTGCTCCCCGAGATGGGCCTTTTCCTGCTTTTTCCTTCCCGTGTCTGTCCAGCAGTGTCCAACCAGAGCGGGGAGGGACCCTGCCATGCCCGGGGCGGGGGGGCTCCCCGGGCCACGAGGGGAAGATCCCAGGGTCTGTGTGCAGCCGCGGCTGCCTCCCTGTGCAGTGCCCGTGACCGCAAGCCCAGGTCAGGGCTGGTGTGGGTGTGATCCTGGGGAGTGGGCCTGCTTGGAGCAGGAGGGTTGGACGGAGTTGACCATCCTGCTGGGTTCCCAAGGCTTTGGAGGTGCCGGGCAGGGAGGGGAGAAGCCCCCAGACTGGGGGCCAGTGGCCCCTGGCAGGCACGGCTTTCTGGCTGCCTGCTGGAGGGGTGAGCGGCACTGGCGCCATCCTTCTTGTCGCATCCCGGGTCACCGTCTTGGGCCTCCTGGCTTTCCTGGGAATAAGTGGCCACTTTCTGGGAGTGAGAGGATATCCCCTGGGTCCTCCTGTGTTTGCAATGTCTGTCCAGGGCCTTGGGGGGTCGGGGTCTGGTGCTGACGGTCTGTCCTCCTGCGGCTGTCCATTGTCCCCGTCTTGTCCTCGGTATTGTTACCATTCTCCTGTGGCCCATGAGGACAGTCATTCCTCTTCCCAGGGCCCTGCCTGGCGCCCTCCCCCGTGAGGCTGCAGCCATGAGCTCTGGCCCAGCTGGCTGGCTGTGAGACCTGGAGCCCACTGCTCGCCCTCTCTAGGCCTGCCTTCCATATGGGATTGGGTGGGTCTCTCTGCTGAGACTGGTGCGGGTTTCTGATTCCTGGGCTGTCTTGCACTTGGAGCTACACAAAGCCTGGTGTGCCCCTTGCACGCAGCCTGAGGGGGGCTCTGGGGGCCTCTTGTGGGCACCGAGCACCCCACCAGTTCACAGGAAGCCCCTGGGAGGGGGATGGGGATGGGAAACTGGGAAGGGCTCCCTGCTCCATGGGGTAGCTTGCTTTCCACTGCTGCCCAAACCATGTGTCCCAGGAACAGGGACATCGCTCCAAGGGCACTGATCTGACTCGCCCTCCCCACCTCTGCTCAGACTGATTCTCACTCTTGGCTCCTGGAGGGCACAGAGCTGAGACCCAGGCATTCTGGGGGTTCATGTGATTTTGGCTCAAACTGTTGTATTCTCTTTGCTTCCGCCTGCCACTCTGCTGGGTTTGGTGCCCTCACCCTCCTGGCTCATCCTCTGAGGTTGGCAGGGCTTGGCTCCCAGAGTGGAGGGCCCCTCAGAGCCTGCCCAAGGCATCCTGCTGCGAGCCCCTGCAGGGGGCCTGGGTCTTCTGCACCCCAGCTGCTGTCACCGTGGGCGGCCGTGGCCTGCTTCAGGGCCCCCTCTGGCCGCCCCAGAGCTGGCTCAGCTCCTCCAGACAGGGCTGCCCCCCTGCCGGGCTGCCCCGGAGCCTAGACGTCTGTGTCCGCAGCAGGCACCCACGTGGGCACCATGTCGCTTCCACTCGGCGTCTACCTCTTACAGCTCCCGCGTGGCTGGCGTTCCCCCTGACAGCGGCTGCTGGCGGGGAGAGCTGGCACCGCCCTGTGAATTGTGGGGCAAAGCAGGCCTCCCGCTGGGACGGGAGGGGGGCCGGGCTCCCAGCCCCCATCCCGCGCGCTCCTGGACACGATTCTCTTCCAGCGCGGCAGACGCGCGCGCCCCACCTGCAGGGTGTCCTCCCCCGCCCGCCCCACCTGCGGGCAGCTCCCGCTCTGGCCCTGCCGCCCGGTGGTCCGCGGGGGCCACTTCTCCGTCCACATTCCATCCGTGGGGCGCTCCGCGAGGTCGCAGCGCGCGCGCACAGCCGCTTCCACCGTTTCCAGAACACGCGACGCCGCGCCGCGCGCGTCCCCTTCGCGGAACTACTGATGTGGGTGATACAGTCGTTCGGGGGAGCTCGGCCTTCTCTGCCCTGCGACCCCCGGGCTGGAAGCCAGAGAGATGGAGACAGAGACCGCGCCAGGACCCCGCAGGGAACCTGCATCCAGTGAGCGGGGCTCCGAGGGCTGGTCTGGAGCTGGGGTGGGGGACCGGGCAGGAGGCCACCCCCATCCTGTCCTGAGCTCGGAGGACTCGCGCCGGCGACGCTGAAGCCGGGCGCAGGCGCAGTGGGGTTCTGCGCGGGAGGCCCCCCCTCTGCCCCCGCTTTTCCCGCGACTCCAGCCCACACGCGCCCCATGGACTAGCCGCCTGTTCTGTCGCGTCCGTCCGCTCCAGTCGGAGAGAAGCAAAGCACCCCGTGGCGCTGTTGTCGGGAGGGGGGCCCTGCCTCTCCCCGGAGCCGTTCCGCGACCCCGGTGTGGCTGCTTTCCAGAGAACCCTTCCAGTTCCCGGTGCGCCCGCTCCCGGGGAGCCGGGATCCCCTCTTCCCGCCTGACCAAAGCTCCTCGTCTCTCCTGTGGCATGTTTGTTCTTCCCGACCCGGGGGCTGTCCTTGCCGCAGCGCTGCCTGCCGCCCTCCTCCGCCCTCTCCCTGCCGGGGGCGTGCAGTGCGCCCGGCCGGCCGCTCTCGGGCATCATGGGTTTTCTTCGGAAGTTCGCGCGACTCCTCCCTGAGGCTCCACAAAACACGTGTTTCAAGAAGCCAACTCTTCCTGCGTCCGGGTGAATGGCCTCCTATTTGGGCGCGGGGCGGGGCAGAGTAGGTGTGGACCCCGCATTCCGGGGGTGGCCGGGGCGTGGGCTCCCCGAAGCAGGGAGAGGCTCGTTCTACCACCTGAGAGCCGAGTCTGCGCCCCCGACGTGGCCTGCGGGCAGAGTGCGGCGCCCATTTTTAAAAGAAAGTCAGACACCGGAGGGGGTGGCAGCAGGTGCCGAGATGGCGCTGGTTCTGCTCGGAAGCCCCCGGCCCAGCTTCGGTGCCCGCCCCGCCCGGGAGGGGCGCCCGGACCTCGGAGGAGCCTCGCGGCTTGACCCCGCCTTAAATAACCAATGTCCGCAGATTCCCGGGTTTGGGTGCCACGTGCTCTGGAAACCTATTCTCTTCCGCTCCGCCAAAAGAAACTACCCCTCTCTCCCTCCCTCCTTCTAGGCTTGGGGGAACTTTAGTAAAAATCACAGCTAGGGTCAGGTCCCTGAGCAGCAGTGAGTCCTGGCCTGGTCCTGCTCTTGGGGCCAGGAGGGAACGCGGAGTCTGACCTCACCTTCGCTGGGACAAAGAGTGGCAGGTGACACCAGGGAGGGGCAGGACAGGAGCAGCCCGCTCGCGGGGGCCCCCACCCTGGGACCCCACTGTCCGTTTCTATTTGTTTACTCCGCCGGGGCGGCCTGTCTGACCTTGTCTGTGGCCTGGCTGTTCCTCAGTGTGTGAGTCAGTGTTACCTGTGCAGGATGGTTGTGCTGAAAACGGTTTCTCCCACTCCTCATGGCTGCCTTGTACAAAATCCGTTAGAGAACATGTAAAATACCAGATTTCTAACCAGACCCACGCTTAGCACTATGGAGTTCAACAATTTTTACAAACTAGTCTTGATTTTGATGTGAGCTGGTTTTTAACTCTCGAATGTTGTCACTGAAATAAAAACCTGATTTGCTTTTAAGGTGTTCTTGGTCCTGAGCAAAGCTGAGGGATGTTTTCTGTTCCTCGTTCCCCGCCCCCCGAGCTGGGGGCCGGCGGCTTGGCCAGGGAGGATGAGGGGAGCCCAGCCCTGCTGCCTCCAGTGGGGTGTGCGTGTCTGTGTGTGCGACACAGAGAACAGATGTCACAGAGGCAGAGTCTTTATTATGAAAAAGCATCGTTATCTCCAGAGAAGTCAACTGGTAGTTTTTTTTTTTTGAGTAAAATGACAAAGCAGATTTCTTAAATAATTTGCCGACAGCAGAAATGGCCACTGACCAGTGCTACCCCTCCCCGCATACTCATGGTACACTGTGCTGGGGATAAATAGGGATCTGTGGGCCCAGGGGCTTCGGGCTCGGGCTCGGGGTTGGCCCGGGGACGGGAGCCAGGGTCCCTGGAACTGGTCAGTCCAGGGGCTGATTTCTCAAAGGTCTGCCTCCTGGGCGCACAGCTCAGGGCCCCCCAGGACCTCTGCTACCCGGGCTTCCCATTGTAGACGTGGCCACAAAGTGTGGGGTGAGTTTCCAAGCCCAAAAGGGGAGGTGAGTGAACCACCCCAGCCTCTCCCCACATGATTCTCGGGCTGGGGTGGGTGGTCAAGGACAGAACCAGATGTGGCCAGGGCAGGAGCAGGCCCCCCCCGCCCAGCAGCCTCCACCTGGGTCCTTGTTAGCAGTGGCCCCAGGGCCGTCCTCGGAGCTCACGGGGACACACGGATCCTCGTGTGAGGGCGCGGTGGTCAGATGTGGCTTGCTTCCCACAATACACAGTTCCCTTTGTGCCCCCTCTGTGCTCAGAGCAGGGAAGTGGGGGCGCCATGGTCATCCCCCCAGAACCAGGAGCTGGAAGGTGGCCGGTATGCTCGGCTAATGATGGGGTCAGTGAGGTCAGCGGCTCTGGCTCCAGGCAGGCGGGATGCCTCGCACACTCCCGGCTCTGCTGGGCCCATCAGCTCTGTGGGTTTTTCCAGAAAAGGCTCTGTTTGTGCACTTGTTTGTGCATGAGGAGGAGGAGGAGAGCCCAAGGAAGATGTCTGGGAGGAAGGCATTGTCTGCAGGCACGTCCTCAGTCGCGGATGAGAGAAACGGTCATGTCCGTCATGTTGCCACTAGAGATGGGAGGGCGGGAGGGACAGAGGCTGATGGGGCTGCGGGCTCGGAGGGGACCTCCTGCCACATACCGGAGCTGGCTGGGTCCCACCCAGGAGCCCATCATGGCCATTGTATGAATGGGGACTGGCCCCAAGCTTGGGCAGCTGCAGACCCAAGGCTTGCCTCCAGGGCCCTGAGCAGACAGGCCAGAAATGCCACCGTGGCCACAGAGCTCTTCCCAGTTCCACGGGCAGGCAGGAGAGGGCAGCCATGGGGAATGTTGGAGGAAGGGCGGGTCTTTCCTGGCCTGGGGGGGTTCCAGGTGATGGACATACATGGCACCAGGGCCCTACGTGTTTTGTTCCCCTCACGTTAGAGATGAGCAGAGGGAGGTCCAGCGAGGGGCAGGGGTAGGCCAGGGTCACACAGCAGGACAGAACCAGGGGCAAAGAGGTCCCCCAGAAATGCCGGCTCACCTCTCTTCTGCCACAATGGCCTCATCTAGCTCTTGGGACAGCTGCTGGAGATGCTGAAGTCCTGCTCCCACAGGTTCTAGGTCACTGTCAGACTCGCTGAAAGAGGGAAAAGCCACCCCGGTGACCCGTGGGAACCTGAAATGAGCCCCTCCCAAGCTGCCCTGGACTGGGGCAATGTCCAGGGGGCTGGGAATACCTTGTCCCAGACCCTCCCCCTGCCCCCTCCCCCCCAGGAGTGACACAGGCGCAGCTTGGAGCACCTGGCAGAGAACAGAGGCTCGAGGCCCAGGTCAAGGGCAGGTGACCTTGCAGACAGGTCAGCCCTGCTGTTGCCCCCATGGAAACGGAGCCTTGGCCTCCAGCTGCCATCTAGACTTGCTTCGGGCTCATCGGAGGCTCATGTCTTTGATGGGTAGGGAAACTGAGGCCCTGGAGGACCTCCCGAGGCCCCCGGCTGGCAGGGGGTGGTGGTGCGGAACGCGGCTGCTGGCAGTTCCAGGTGCCCCTGGCAGCCACAGGAGGGGGCCCAGCTTTCGTCGGGGGGCCCCAGCACTGCCCCTCTTACCTGGGGGAGCAGAGGGGCTCTGTGGAGGAGTAGGGGCTGCGGAGGGCAGCCTCCCTCCTGGACCGCCGCAGGGGGTAGGTGCGTGGGCCCCCACGGGCAGAGAGCCGGGGACTGTCCCTCTCCCATGGGTCCAGGGCCGCGTAGGCAGGGGCAGCTCCGGACAGTCGGGGGCCCTTCTGTGCCCCCCTCCTCCTCCTCCTGGCTGTCACCTGGGTTTCCACCAGCCACTTGGTGCCACTGTGGCAGGACTCCTGGATTCTCTGTGGCGGGTGCAGGGAGAGGTGAGCGTGGCCATCGCCAAGGGGCGCTCTCCCAAGAGCCGCGATGGGACCTCCCGCCCCACGGCCTGCCAGCGGGCGCAGACACCGGCAGCTCAGGGGCCTGGGGGAGGGGCGTGGACAAGCCCCTGGGAAACGGTCCCGGTCCCGATCCGCCGCAGCCACGGGGAGTGAGTACGGATTCACCCAGTCCCTTCCGGGACCCGTAACGCCCCTGACTCTCCCAACAAAGCCCAGAGACCGGGCCTGCCACCCCCCACCCCCGACCGGCCCCTGGTCTCACCCAGTGGTTCACGCTGCACGCGGGTGCAGTCCTCTCTGGGCCGGCTGACAGGATACCCAAGGGCTCGGAAGCCGTCTGGGGCTCCTCACTGCCCACAGCAGCAAGTCCAAGCTCCAGGGTCTCTTGGACCCGCCCGGCTCCTCTCCCCCCAGAACATCTGCCCCAGCAGAGCCAGAGGGCAGAGGTCAGAATGAGACCCGCGTTCCGTATGGCAGGTGGTGTGGCCGAGGGCTGACCGTCTCATTTCGTGTCTCCGAGCCCCGGGGGACAAATCTGTGCTGGGGCTCCTACAGACCAGACTGACGCTTGGCTCAGGACCTCTCAGTGGAAGGTCTGGGGATTTCGGGTCCCCAGTCAGACCCCAAGGAGACGCCCGGCCCCATTCTCTCCTTGGGGGTGGGTCCATCCTCACGGCTTCTGTCCCTCCTGGGTGACACCTTCCCTCATTTTTGAGTGCCCTTCCCATCCTTGCTCTCCACCCTCTGGCCACACCCAGGCTTCCCCCCAGCTCTGGAGAGGGACTTACACTATGTTGCTTGCCTTACGGCCCCCTCCCGCTGCCCCTCTCCTGGGTAGTTCTGTGGTCACCTCCAGAAGCTTCCTGTGTTTGGTGTCCCCCATTATGCCCTTGCGTGTCACCCCACCACAACGCAGCTCTGGCCTCTTGCCATTGTGGGGCTTGGTTCCTCTGGACTGCGTACCTGTCCTCATTGGCTCTGCCTCCTCAGAGGGATCCTGGGAAGCAGCTGTCTGGCGCCACAGAAGCCTGAATTAAGGGACAGGTAACGCTGCCGGCCTTACCTGGGACACAGCACCCAGGGCGCTCTTAGCAGAGCGAGCCGCAGCCTGGAGGCCCTGCTGCCCTGGCCCGGGGCTTTCCAGGCGTTTCCAGGAGGGCCCTGCCCCGAGGTTGAGGCTGACGGCTCTCAGAGGCAGCCTTCTCTGGAAGTGTCTGCACAGGGAGCCCAGGGCCCCGCCTGAGGTCTCCAGATGGCCGGCCACAGGCCGTGGCCCGTCCTCCTCCTCCAGCTGTTCCTGGTCCTGGAGCGGTGTCTGGCGCACTGAGGTCCCCACGCCCGGCCACCTGGAAGCCATTTGCTTGGCCAAGAGACTGTTCAGCCCACCAGATCCTGGGAGGAGGTCAAAAGGCAGGTCAGCACGGCAGCCCCCTTACCCTCCCCGGGCCCCACGGGCACAAGGCAGCTGGGGCTGGGTGTGGAGGCCCCTGGTAGCTGTGGGTGCGGGAAGGAGGGTGTGTCCTGGAAGAGAGGTCAGAGGAGGGCGGAGGATGGACAGGCAGCTCCGCCTGCCCTGCGGTCCCTGCCCGCCAATGTCCACAGCACCCGTCTTCCATCCAGCCTCCTTTCGGCTCTCTGCCGCAAGCGGGGAGGCAGGATCGGCCCTCGCCGACCTCCCTGCGCCGGCGCCGCGTCCGACGCCCTTTGGCGAACTCGCGGGATCCCGGGGCACTCCAGCCGCGCAACCTCCCCCCACTCTCCGGTCTGCGTCTCGCAGCCCCCGACGGCCCCGCATGCGCGCCCGTCCTGCCCGGAGCCCCCCGCCCCGTCCGGTCCCGTGGGAACGGAAGCGCCGCCGAGCCTCGGGCCGCACTCACCCGACAGCCCCCCGCGCCCCCCGCACGCCCCGCCGGCCGCTCCGCGCCCACCCCGCCGGTTTGAATCTCCGCGCGGGTCCGCCCCCGGCCCGTCCTCGCCGCTGACTGGCTGCGTCTGCGCAGCGCGGCCGCGCCCGGGATCCGATTGGACCCCGCGCTCGCGGCGGGGCTGCTGCCCTCCGATTGGCTGGCCGCCCGGTTCCCGCGGGAGGGGGCCGCAGCGGGGGCCCGCCCCTTTGTCTCGGCGGTCCAGCGGCCGCGCGGCGGTGTCTGCCCGGAGCGCTCGCGGCTGCCCGCTCCCGCGTGGGTGTGTCCGTCTCCATCCCTTGCCCTGTGTTCCCCAAACGTGCCCCCGCACTCTGGACCTGGGAGACCTGGAGGAGGGGCCAGAGCAGGGTACCCCCCCCCCCCCCCCGCCCTCCTCCAGTCCAACCCCGCTCAGGTCGAGGCTTCCCCCAACCCCTGCATCCGCACAAGCTCCAAAACTCGCCTTTTGGAAAGCCCCTCCCTCTTTCGCGCGACCCCGGGGCCAGGCCGCGCCCCCCCCCCAGGCTTCCTCGCTGCGAGCTTCACCACCCCACCCCATAGCTCTGTCCCGGGCCGTGCAGCGCACCCCCTCTCCGGCCGGTCTCCCTTGGCTCCCCAGCCCTTCCGCGTAGCACGGCCCTGGGCCGCGACAGAGCTGGTCACCCAGGCCTGGGGCTCAGGAACCTCCCTCCCCGCAGCGGGGGGTGGGGGGGGGATGGAGGGATGGGGATGCTGCGCGCCGCAGGTGCTGGTATGCTCGCCGAGCCCTTCTGTGACGACCTCGCTGGACCCTCAGGGCAGCCTAGGAGTAAATGAGGAAACTGAGGCCGGGCGAGGTTAGGTGGGCCCCAGTGGCCCTCAGTTAGGGGACCAGGGCCCCTGCACCCGCTCCTCAGATCTAGCGTGTGGGGAGAGACAGGGCGTCCATGAACCGAAGAAACAATAATCAAAGAAAATGACAGCGAAGGCCCCCCGCGACGCGGCGTTTACAGCTGGGGCCTCCAGAATGAGCTAAGGGAGCCCAGAACGTATTTGAGCGTGTGGGAGGAGACTCCTGGCACCGAGGGGCCAGCGCCCACTGTCGGACACCCAGCTCACAGGTGTGTGAGACACAAGTTTCTGGAAACGAGTGGGACTCTGAGCGGTGGGCTGGGATGTTCTGCTTTGCTGTTTCATTGTCTGACCACGGCTCTTCCTATCCCTGCCTTCCCCACGTGGAGGATGAGCTGTGACCTGTTGGGGACAGGCATGTGGATGGCACTTAGGGGCTTCGATTCCCGCCTTTCCCCAAGGACACAGGAGAGGGAAGGCGAGCGCCCTTATTCTTGGGAAAACTAAGCTGGGTGTGGGAGGGACTCACTGAAGGGAAACAGTCTCAGCTTGGCCGGGCCGCTCCCTTCTGTGTCCGGCCATCAGAGGACAGTCCGCGCTGGCCCAGCCCTGACCCAGGCCAAGTGTGCTTCCTGCCCTGCCGTCCAAGGAGGAGCTATTTTTACTCGCATTTTGATGACAGCACAGATTTCCAAGGCTGAAGTGTCTGGCCCGACACGGGAGTGCAGAGTCAGCAGGAACCGAAAACTTGGTGTCCGGCTTTGCACCCCAAATGCCTAATCTTTGATCACAGTACTTCCTAAGGGTCAGACGTGAATGGAGGGTTGTTTGACCAGGCCCCCTGCCCATGTGGGGCTTTGCATCTCCTCCCTCAGAACGTCCCCATCCCTGCCAGCCCAGGGGAAAGGACGGCAGTGTCCACGACAATGAGGAGGAAGAGGAGGAAGAAATGTCTTCTTGTGAATGAGAGACTCTCTCTTGCGGGGAGCAGAGCTGGCCAGGCGGGGGAGGAAAGGGGGTATGATTGGGGGGCAGGCTCCTAGTGGAGCTGTGGCAGGAACGGGGGCAAAGCCATTCCCAGGCAGAGGCTTTCTGGGGTCCAGCCCCACCCGTGCCTCTGTTGCCGAGGAGGATGGAGAAGGAGGGGCCCCAGCCCTGCCCTGTCCTGGGGGACTCCCTGGCCAACAGCAGAATTTCCTGCTAGTTCCCACAATCTCCTGGAATGGCTGGTGCTGGAAGCAGACCTATGCTGGGCCAGATGCTGCAAGGGGGGCATCCTTGGGGTGAGGAAGGCGACGAAGGGGTGTGGGGAACCCCACGTGAGCAGGGGCAGGGTAGACTCCCCCAGAATGCGGCGGTTTAGCAGATGCAGGGTGGAGGGGGGTGGAGAGGCTTTCCTCATCTGGGGCCTGCCAAGGCCGGTATAGGGGACCAGGCACCGCCCATTTCCAGGACCAAGGAAGGCGGCTGGTGGACTGAGGGCCCACCACCCTGGGGACAGGTGGCCCGGGGCAGGGGTGGCTCCACTGGGCCGGGGTTGGGGGGAGCCTGGGGTGTGTCCTGAGGGGAGCAGAGATCCTTTGATGAGTTTTAAGAGGGTTGGGGTTATTAGGGTTGCCTTTTCCGGAAGTCTGTTAGGAGGTTAGTCTGGGGCTAACCGAGGCTGGGGGCACGTTGGGACGCTGTGGCCTGAGCACCTCCTTCTTCTGGCCTCGGCTTCAGCAAACACCCCCAAACCCCACTCCCGCTCCTCCGCACCGGGGACCCAGATCTATGCCTTCTACCCCAGCACCCACCCCCCAACTCCGTGCCTCTCTGCCCTCCAATCACGGATTATAGCGAGAAGCCAGCCGTCCCCAGCAGGGAGTCCAGCACGATGAGCACAGACAGAGCCAACAGCCATGCCGCCGCTGTGGGGGAGCAGCCAGCACTGCCGGGACCCCAGAAGCAGCCCCCCCACCCCTGGGTCCTGCCGCCCTCTCTCCCTCCCCCGACGTCCATGGTAATCACGTTATTTCCCTCTAAGCATCTATCTTGCTTCCTGTGCGTTCGGACCCCTCTGCGTGGTTGTGTGGTCAGAGAAGGACCCCAGGACTCCTGCCCCCAGAGAGGGCCGGATGGGGACTCTAGGGGGTCTGAGCACCCTGGGAGGGGCCTAGGGGCCTGATCCGGCCGCCCTGGTCTGGGCTTAGGGGCTCAGGCTTGGCCTCTATGTCAGGTGGCTCTTTGTGGGAGACTTTGGGGGGACTGGAGAGGTGGATCTCCCCACTTTGGCGGGGCAGGTGGAGTTAAGGAGGGTGGAAGACACCCAAGGCCACAGGTCAGGAAATGAGAAGTGTGGTCAGGGGCTCTATGTGGCTCCTGATAATCCAGTGTCCCTTCCCGAGGGGGTCACAGAGAGGAAGGACCCTGGGAACCCGAGCTCCCATTGGCCACAAGGTGGCGCCAAATACCACGCCTTCCCGTCACCTGTCTCTTTGAGTCCTGAACGGGGATCCCAGGTGCAGGGACTGAGCTCTGCAGGGGTCCCCAAGCACAGGGGTGAGGGATGAGACCCTCCACCTCGGGAGAGAGAGTCCTGCTCCCCACAGTCAGAACCTGGAGTGGGGGCTGCAGCGGGACTGGGGGACACCCTTAACTTTCCCCAAACTTGTCCTTTCTCTCCTCTGGTTTTAGAACCCCCCAGGCCAGAAACCAGCTCTCCCCCCCACCCCCGCATCACATCCTCTCCTGCACAATGTTTGAGGGGAGAGGAGGAGGAAACAGGAAAGAAGGAAGGCAGGGACTGTAGAGACCATAGGACCTTGGCATGGATACGAGGATGTGGAGGGGGCTTCAGGCTCCCCTCCTGTTCCCCTTTGCTGGGTTGAGGCCTCTCTCCTGCTACACCCCTCCCCATCTTCTCTGAGAACCCTCTGGCCTCTTTCTTTCTTCTTGGGATGGGAGAAAACCCTTGGTGGCTGGCCGGTGGGGGCCTCACCTCCCCCTGCGGAGTAGGGAGGAGGCACCGCCCAGCTTACTCCTGGCTCACACCTGCCCGGGGGCAGAGTCAATCCCCAGGTCTGGGTATCTTCCTCCCGGGAGATTACTCAGCCTGAGCCCGGGAGCCATGGAGGCCGCTCTGCTCCTGAACGTGGAGGGGGTCAAGAAAACCATCCTGCACGGAGGGACCGGGGAGCTCCCAAACTTCATCACAGGGTCCCGGGTGAGTGGACCTGGTCTTCTGGCACCAGAAGGGGGCTCCCTGATGGCCGCCTTCTGCATTCCTGCTGTGCCTCTTTCGGCTCTGCCAAAAGAGGGCGAGGAGGGCCCTTCCCAGAACTATCAACTCTGAGCACCTGGGAAGCTCAGAAACGGCGCCCACTTGCCAGACGTCTGTGAGGCTGGCAAATTAAACTCCAGCGTGGGTTGGGGGAAGGGCTTTGGGAGTTTTCTGATGCCCCAGTGTAGAGTGGAGCCCTCAGGGTTCACGGTTTTGTCCACAAATGTCTGGTGGGCTTCCCTGGATAACGGAGTGGCGGGGTCTGTGGCCTCAGATCTAGGGCTTCTGTAAGCCGGGCTCTGAGGTCCTGCACAGCTGCCAGGCAGCGGGACAGCCAGTGGCTCGGGGCCCTTGGGGCGGGGGCGAGGGCAGGCAGCGTGGGGTCGCTGTGGGGTCCTGGCATCTGGATGGGGTACAGTGCGCTGAGCTTGGAGGTTGGCCCCACGAGTGATGGTGGGAGGTTTGTCTGAGACCAGGGTCCCCTCCTGCCAACCAGGTGATCTTTCATTTCCGCACCACGAAATGCGACGAGGAGCGGACGGTGATCGACGACAGCAAGCGCGTGGGCCACCCCATGCACATCATCATCGGGAACATGTTCAAGCTGGAGGTCTGGGAAGTGCTGCTGATGTCCATGCGGGTTGGCGAGGTGGCTGAGTTCTGGTGTGACACCATCGTGAGTAGCCCACGCCCGCCCGCGCGGTCCACGCCTCCAGCAGCCCCATCCCTGCTCTGCAGGGCAAAGTGGGGTGAAAACGAAACCCTGCATCCCTTCCTCTGCCTCTGAGCACATGGAGGAGAGCTACCCCAGACCACAAGCCCCCAGAGTGGCCGTTGGTGGTGTGGTCACCTGGGGGGCAGGGTAGGGTGTGGCACCAGGACCGCGCCCCACACACGGTTACTGGGTCCTGGGGACTTTTGGTCACTGGTCACTTTCCTGCCCTTCTGCCTGTGCCCGTGAGCCATGTAAAACTATTCTCAAATCTGTGACCCTCCTGGGATCGTCTCTTTGTTCTGTGGCCCAGACAGAAATGGCAAGACTCATTTTTTTTTTTAAAGATTTTTTATTTATTCGTTTGAGAGACAGCGAGAGAGCACAAGCAGGAGGAAAAGCAGTGGGAGAGGGAGAAGCAGAATCCCCGCTGAGCAGGGAGCCCGACATGGGGCTTGAGCCCAGCACCCTGGGATCATGACCTGAGCTGAAGGCAGGCACCCAACCCACAGAGCCACCCAGGCGCCCCCAAGACTCACGGACATTTAAACAAATGTTTCTTTCTTTCTTTTTTAAAGATTTTATTTATTTATTTGACAGATCACAAGTAGGCAGAGAGGCAGACAGAGAGAGAGGAAGGGAAGCAGGCTCCCCGCCGAGCAGAGAGCCCGACGCAGGGCTCGATCCCAGGACCCTGAGATCATGACCTGAGCCGAAGGCAGCGGCTTAACCCCCTGAGCCACCCAGGTGCCCCTAAACAAACATTTCTTATGGAAACTTTCAAGCATATACAAAAATCGACAGAAAGCCCAGAGAAGTCCCCAAGCCCATCCCTCACACCAGCCCCCATTGGACCCCAGCCAGGCTTGCCTCATTCCCCCCTTCTCTCCCTCATCCCACACAGCTAAACCACGCTCCAGACTCCCTACGTTACTGCTGCAAAGACAAATCTGTATCTGTAAAAAGGGCATTAAAGTAACATCACCTCAGTGTCATCACTATGTCTTTTGAAAACCCCCGTAATTCCTTCAGGCCGATTCTCTCTGGTACTGTCCACAGTTCTCTAGCTTAGTGGCCGGCTTGTTCCAATCTCGACCCAAACACAGTCCATGCACAGGGGATCCACACATTCTAGAAAGCTGGTTGATTTCCATGGGACCGTCCACCGTGTTCCTCTGTCCCCACAGTTTCTAGAAATTGTGCTGCTGGCTTCCCACTGGGGGCCCGGTCAACTGGCCTCTCGCGCTGGGAGTCTCTTCTCACCGTGACTGGCTGACGGGCTCAGATGTTGCGGGCCTGACCCAGCCATTGCCGGGCTCCCCCTTGTCTTTCACCCAACGGGCGCACCAGCCCTTGATGGCGGCCGCTCTGACCCATCACGTCATCGGGGCCGCTGACCCTTCGAAGGAGCAATTTGGGAGAGAGAGAGAGAGAGATCTGAGTTTGAGCTCTGTGGCCCCGGGGAAGCCCTTTCTCCCTGGGACACTCTGTGTCACTCATCTGTAAGGGAAACCCGGTGCCGGGGTCCGGTTGGGGGGACTACGGGACGTGGTGGCTGCTGGGACAAGTCGTAATGGAGGAGTGCTAGCAGGATTTCAGATGCTGATGAGGAGGCACGGGGCAGAGACGGGGAGTGACTTGCTCAGGGTCCGGGTGGGATCCCTGGTCCCCTCCCTGCTCTTGGCAGGGGCTGCGGGTCACAGCACGAGTCAGGCTGCAGAGCCGCCTCCGCCGCTAGGGGCGCCCGCCTCCCCGTCCCTCAGGCTGCAGCGCCGCCTCCGCCGCTAGGGGCGCCCGCCTCCCCGTCCCTCATTTCTTGGCTCACAGGGCGGACACCAACTCTTTGCCCACCGGGGTCTCTGCTGGTCTTGGTCCTGGTGCTTAGAAAGCTGGTCAAGGCATTTTATTCTTAACTGCCTGGGTCTTCAGAAAATGGGCTTCCTCGCGGCTTCAGATGGTTTAATATCTATCGGCTTTGCTCGGTGCGGATGCTCTGTAGGTTTTGGATCCACGCGCACCGGTCATGCTGGCGGTCGTGCCGAGGCCCGGTAGATGAGGGAGATGAGGCCTGGCCACCAGCGAGGCCCTGCCCCCGCAGGATGCATGGTCACCACATGGGAGGGCTGAGTGCATGGAGGGCTGCCAAGAAAGCCTGGGCTGGCCGATGGATGTGTTGTCTTGGCTGTGGTCACAGGAGGGCACTGCCCATCTCGCTAAGCATCCACCCGTCGTGCGTGTGCCTGGCTGCAGATCTATCTGAAAACATTCACTGGGGACCAGATTTGGACTCTGCTGTGTGATAGGAATGAAACACTAAGTGCTTCCCTCAAGGAACCTCAGTTCTTGGAGGAAGAACAAACACTGGAACTCTTTCGATGCGGGGCAGCCAGCCCCATGACATGATTAAGGGAGGGCAGACTGCTTCAGGGCCCAGGAGATGGGCAACTAGTGCTTAACGGTCTTGGGGGAATGTCTCCAAGATGACCTTGAACTGAAGGATGAACAGGAGTTCACCAGGTCTGCGCGTAGGGAGCAGGTGGCATCCAGGCCAGGAAGTGCAAAAAGGTCTGGCATGCTTAACTAGGTTAGCCCCTTTCCCCTCCCGGGGCTCCTCTCCATTTAAGAATCCAAGTTTTGGAAAGACACAGGCAGCCGTCAGTGGGATGATCATATTAGGAGGGCCTGGCCTTCCCCCCAGCAGCATTGCTTGTCACTCCCTGCAGACCCTCCCCCAGGCCAGTCCTCTCTGCTCAGTCTGAAGAGGAAGAGGCCCCCTCTCTCCCTCCCCCACCCCTAGGGAGGGAGGCAGGGCCGCTCTGGGGCTGGGAGTTTCTGCCCTGCCCCCAGGCAGGAGGTTGGTCTCTATGTGGGATTTTTATGCCAGTGCCCAGGACCGTGAGGCCACAGGTTGCAAACTAAAATTCCACGAGGGGCCCGGAGCTCTGGCTGTCTGCGGATCGTCTGCCTCATCCAAAGGGGCAGCCGGTCCTCAGCTCCACCTGGATGGTCGTCTGGTGAGCTCCCCCGATATTCGAATGTTGGTTAACTAGTTGATAACAGCTCTGCAAGGTGAATGATCAGACAAAACCAGTCTGCGAGCTGAGTATGGCCCATGGCCCAGAGTTTGCGGGCTCTCCTACAGCGACAGATCCACAGGCAGAAGGAGACTCGGTGTGGGGGTCCCAGGGTCCCCTGCCTCTGTCACAGGCACGGTCTCGGTCTCCAGGGCCAGAGGTGAGCTCCACAGAGCCCCACATGTAGCTCTGGCTGGTCTGCGGTCCCAGCCAGGCTAACTGTCCTCAAGACTGACACAGAGCTGGGCCTCCTATCTTCCTTGCTCCCTCCCTCCCAGGAGCTGCCACCCCGCTGGGCGTGGGACTCGGGGACCCTCTTCGGGCCTTCCTCCTCCTTTCTGGATATTTTCCAGCTCCTGGCAGCACCCCCAGCCCACAGTGCTGCCCTTGGGGGGAGGCTCTGCTGGTGCTAGGGTGTGCGTGTGTCATGGGGCAGAGTCTTTACCAGAGGTCCTACCCAGACAGCCACCTGGCCCTGGGGCCCAGTTGCTCAGTGCACTTGCTGGGATTCAGGACCTGGGGGCTGCCTGGAGCAACAGCTGCTCCTGGGGCCTGTCCGGGCCTTAGGTCAGCCTTGATCCCAGGGGAATTAACTACCATCTGGCCTTCTTCCTCACAAAGGAGCCTCGGCAGGGCATTCTGGGCTAATCCTGGCTGGTGGGGGCTGGGCAGGCTGACCTTCACCCCCACGCTGGTGACTTGGAGGACAGGCTGAACTGTTTCCACCTCTTCAGTCCCTGGAGCTGCCACGAGGGTGTCTGAGATGGGCCGTTTCTGGACTTTCCAAGCAGAGGGGGTCTCTCAGGGACCCCTCACAGGCGGGGCAGCTGAGGCTCAAGGGGCTGGTTTTCTCAGCCCTCCTCCTCCTTGAGGGTGGCGAGCCCTGTGCCCAGTGCAGGGAGAGGCTGGGACGAGCGGGGCCTACCCCCGTGCCTCCTCTAACTCACGTCAGCTCCATGGCCACAGGTGCAGCCGAGGGGGCCGGAGCTCAGACAGGTGCCCAGTCTCCCTGCTAATCAGCAGCCCCCTGGGGATGCCAGGCCGGCCCTCTGGCCCCTGGAGCTCGTGCCTTTCCCTCCCTGCAGGTCACCAACCCATGGGCTCAGGTCTCCCCGGGAGAGAAATGGGTTGGGGCTGAGCACAAGGGCCAGGAAAGGTGAGAGCGTGCCCCCTGGAGCCGAACGTGAACCCGGCCTGTGTCGTTTCCTCGTTGGGTGACCTTACGCTACTGACTTCATGCCTCTGGGCTCCAGTCTCCCACCTGTGGAGTGGGGATAAGGGCTTCCCTCGCTGGGGCCTGTGGAAGGAGCTGACGGAAGGAGCTGGGAGAGTGCTTGGCCTGGAACACAGTGCACCACAGTCCTTCCGGAGGCCTGTTGGGGGCAAACAACAGCAATAGCCCCAGGCCGGTGAGGCTGTAGCAGGACTCAGCTCCGAGCACGCAGGCCAGACGCCATCCGCTGTCTTTCCTTCCAGCACACAGGGGTCTACCCCATCCTGTCCCGGAGCCTGCGGCAGGTGGCGGAGGGCAAGGACCCCACGGAGTGGCACGTACACACATGTGGGCTGGCCAACATGTTCGCCTACCACACGCTGGGCTACGAGGACCTGGACGAGCTACAGAAGGAGCCACAGCCTCTGATCTTCGTGATAGAGCTGCTGCAGGTGCACCCTGGGGGTGGCAGGGGCAGAGGGCTATCCCAGCCTCAGAGAGCATGCGGTGTGGGGAGCCTCCCCTCGCTGGTCCCGGACATCACTGCCTTCTCTCTAGAGCATGAGAGGGTTCCTAAACCACTGCCGCATTTGTGGGGTGGTGGGAGAGGGTCCAGCCTGGGTTGGGACTCAGGTTATGGCCAAGAATGAGGTTCAGCCCGACGGCTACATGGGTGAACAAATAAGGGAATGGTGTCAACAATAGGGCCTTTGTGGGCCTGTTAGGACAGTTGTGCGGTTTGTGCACTGCACAAGGGCCTCACTCCAAGGTGCTCATTTTAGACCTCGTAGATCTGAACTTTCATGATGGCAATTTCCCAGCAGGTGGCAATAACGTGTCTTGTTCTAGCCAAGTGAGTATGGAGACCGTCTTCTGAACATTGGAAGTCCAGTGTTGACAAGGGCTGTCTGTCCGTAACTTGCATAAAGGTGCTGATTTAGGGGGGCTTGGCCGGTGGCTTCCATCCCCTATGCACGTGGATGTGACCAGCAAGCATGCTTGCAGAGAAGGCAGAGGAGGCGGGTCCCCAGCTGCGGGGGAGCAGGTCCCCCGGTCCCCGCCTCACCCGCCTGCGCTGTCCGGCCAGGTGGAGGCCCCGAGCGAGTACCAGCGGGAGACGTGGAGCCTGAACAACCAGGAGAAGATGCAGGCGGTGCCCATCCTCCACGGAGAAGGGAACCGGCTCTTCAAGCTGGGCCGCTACGACGAAGCCTCCAGCAAGTACCAGGAGGCCATCGTCTGCCTGAGGAACCTGCAGACCAAGGTGGGGGACTGCCCGTGCAGCCAGAGCGGGGGGACGGCGGCAGGGGTGGGGGGCAGGTGGCCCAGCTCACGGCGGACCGGCGTGCTCCCCCCCCCCCGCGCGCGCGCAGGAGAAGCCCTGGGAGGTGCAGTGGCTGAAGCTGGAGAAGATGGTCAACACCCTGATCCTCAACTACTGCCAGTGTCTGCTCAAGAAGGAGGAGTACTACGAGGTGCTGGAGCACACGAGCGACATCCTGCGGCTGCACCCAGGTGCGGCGGCGCGGGGCGGGGCGGGGCGGGGCGGGGCGGGGCGGGGCGGGCAGGGCCGGCAGGTGCGTAGGGCGGGGCGGCACTTGCAGGGCGGGACGGGCAGGGCCGGCAGGTGCGCGGGGCGGGGCGGGGCGGGCCGGGCCGGCAGGTCCAGGGCAGAGCCCCTGAGGGAGGCCTTGGTGCTCACGCGCAGCGGCCGGGACTCGCAGGCAGCAGGCTTGCACGCTGGTGCCCCAGCATTGGTGCCGCTGGTGGGGAGCAGGTGTTTGTGAGCGAGGTGCGGGGGGACGGTCGTGCAGGGTGGAGTGACTGCGGGTGCGCTGCGACATCGCTCTCCTGCTGTGCGCAGGGGGTTGGGCTCCCTGTGCTCCTCACCTCTTTCAGTGCCAGAGTAACCCGTTGGGGCGGGGGCGGGGACAGGGGCCTGGAGCCCACGTCTTGCGGGGATCCCACGGGACCGCGTAGGAGGTTACGGGTCTGGAGTTAGCTCTGGGGCCCGGCGGGGTCCCCGCAAGGGAGGGGAGTAGGTCCTGCTCTTGCTGCTGTCACCCACATGTACAACCGAGGAGGCGGCCCCCGGGGCACGGAGAGGTTAAGGATGGGGGTTAAGGTTAAGAGTATTGTCAGCAGTGAGGCCGCGCCTGGAGGGGTCAGCAGGCGCAGTGTCATCCTCCCCTCAGGGATCGTGAAGGCCTACTACGTCCGGGCCCGGGCTCACGCGGAGGTGTGGAATGAGGCGGAGGCCAGAGCGGACCTTCAGAAAGTGCTGGAGCTGGAGCCGTCCATGGGGAAGGCGGTGCGCAGGGAGCTGAGGCTTTTGGAAAACCGCCTGGAGGAGAAGCGGGAGGAAGAGCGGCTGCGCTGCCGGAACATGCTGGGCTAGGGCGCGGAGCGGGCCTCCCAGGCCTCCTCTGCCTCCCCTGCCTCCCCGGCCTCCCCTGGGTACTTCTGTAGCTGTGCACACTTCCTCTAGAACCCTCTCTCGGGTCCTCGCCACTCCCTTCTGGGCGGGACAACCACTGGGACTTTACTCCCCCCCCCACCCCGCCCCAACACCCAGCTTCTGTCCATAGTCAAAATTACATTTTTTGTGCTTTGTCCGAGGCCTGACTAAAATGAAAAAAACAATAAACAGTGTAAGTAAGTTTCCCCACAGGCCCCACGTGGCACTGTGATCGTGGTTCTTCCCCTGTGGTCCCCAATCCATGGGCCCAGGGCCACCAGAATGAGGCTGCGAACACTGTGATGTTTTCTTTCTCCTTCCCCTCTTTTGTGTCACCAGGAGGCTTGAGGTGTCGGTTCCCTGCCCCTGCCCACAGAGGAAAGAGGGTTGATGTTTGGTGGGTTCTGCTTGTGGCTAAGGGCCGCCTGGCTTGGTGGGGCGGGCGGGGGTTAGGTGGCCAGCACGGCCCAGGGGGAGGAGGTCAGAGCAAGGGGATGCTTCGAGCTGGGGAAGCCAGAGTGGGACAGTCACCTGCCTCCCGATGGCCCCGGGAGGCTGGACAAGCAGGGGCCCCAGTGGGGGTCAGAGGCAGGGGCCCCAGTGGCTCAGAGGCAGAGGCAAGCCTGTCTGAGGACCGTGAGCTCTGGCCCGAGGGCTCCCGGCCCCTGTGCTCCTTTCCATTTCCTGTGTGTACCTTCCTTCCCTCTCCTCTGAGGTCCGTGAGGACCTGCCCCCAAATGTGGTCCCCCCAGCAGGACTGATGCCCGAGTGTGTCCCATGGCCCTGCCTGGTCTGCTGTGCAGACCAAATGGTCAGCCCAACCGTCTCCCCTCCTGATGCCCCAGGACCTTTGCAAGCCCAAGAGAGAAGAGGGGCAGGGCCAGGACACGGAGGGCTGTGTGACCTTAGTGCTCCTGGTGGGGATGGCCCCGGGCAGCCGGAGACCCCTCCCCTCATCGCAGAGTCCACAGGGGTCCCTCTGCCCGCGCCATGCAGTGGATTAAGATCAGTCACATTTCCACTCTCATCTTTCTAGGCCTGCTCTCCCCCAGCCCCACCGGCCCCCAGCCTGTGCACCTGCCCTTTTTGATTTTACAGTAGACACAAGGCCAAGGGCAGGACAACTGGACCCTTTCCAGGAATCATCTCAGGCCCCATCTGGCTAGTGTGGGCTTTGGGGAGAAGCCCCAGGGCCCCCGTAGCACGTGGCTGCCCCCCCCCCCCCGCCGGGGGCCTCTGGCCGCTACGTCTGCTTCCCCACCTCCTGCAGCTTCTGGAGGCCGATGCCCTCCTGCCTCTGAGACCCCCCGGGTGGCCATCAGGTCCCCTGGCCTGCCTGTGCCCTCCAGCCTCCCTCTCACCAACACCCTTCTATTGTGCCGACTCGCCCGAACCATTGGCGCGGTCCCCCCACTCAGCGCACTTAGCTGGGTCACATGGCAGGTCCTTCTGCCACAGCGGGTCACCTGCTCACGGGCTCTGGGGATTAGGCCGCCGGCCTCTTTGGGGAAAGACTGTCTTTAATCTCACCTGTACCGCATGGCCCAAGTGTGGGGGGTGCCATGAGCACCTTGTCCACACGGTCTGGGGGCCCCTTCCCCGACCCTGCCCGCTGCGGGCTCCGTGGAAGGTCAGGCCGAGCCTCGTCTTCCTGGTGCGTGTGTGCAGAGCTCCTGACTTCAGGTCCTCGTCAGCACGAGGATCTGATGAACAAAGATTCTTGCCTTGCCTCCCGCTACCAACGCAGACAGCGTTGGAAGACGTACTGGGCGTCTGTCTCTCCCCAGCAGTCTCAAGGCCGGCGGCCGCTGCGGACGGCGCAGTCCCGGGCAGGTGGCCCGTTCTACCCGTGTGGGCCGGTGTTAGCCACCTGGACGACGCCCGCTGCGGACGGGGGCATAGGAACCCCGGCTGAACCAGAGCATTTGTCCGTGGAGAACATCTCCGTTCTCACACGTGCAAGGGCCCTCAGGAATGGTCAGCCCGACCTCTCGCTTTGTGGGTGGGGAAACTGAGGCCCACAGATGAGGACGGGCATAGTCGAGGTCACCGCAGTAGTCACGGACAGAACCAGGGCTGGGGTCGCTTGTCCACACTGACCGGGGAGCCTCGGGAGGGAGGGAAGGAGGGCCCTGCCCTCCAGCACAGTGGAGGGGCTGGGGGAGAGACGTGGGGGACGGGTTCAGGTGTCTGAGGCTGGGGTCCCTGCAGCGGCTCGTGCGGCTGGGGAGTACTCCCGCCACGTTCTCCCTGGTGGCCCGGAATCCAGAAGCAGAGTCTGATGAGGGCCCCCTGCAGAGAAGGGGGAGGAGGCAGGAGGAGGGAGGGGAGGAAGATGAGAGGGAGAAGAGAAAGAGCATGTTTAAGAGGACACGGCGTCCCCTCCCAGCGAGCCGACCTCACGGCCCAACCAGACCCTCCCTCAGGGAAGAGTGGGGGAGGGGGGAGCCGGTGTCTGCAGCCCCTGCCACCGGGTGCAGAGCGACCTGGAGCCCACAGCCCAGGTACCGTGTCCTGCAGACGCCCAGGCGGGAAGGGGAGGGCAGCGTGGTCTAGCGGCTTCGAATTCAAGCAGCGGCGATGATTTCGAGTTTCCTGGCCGCCATGCTGAAAAGGTAAAGAAGAAATAGGTGATGTTAATGTTGACCCAATATGTCGAAACACTACCATTTTTCCCTAAATGAGATGCTTTGCGTTTTGTTTCTGACATGCTGTCTGGGGTGATCTTGACTCGGCCAGCGTGTGGTAGTGGTTCCCCCCGCCAAGCCCTGCCCCACACACTACAAACTAGACTCCTTCTGGGGCTTCATGTGAACGCGCTCCGACAGTGGATTCCCCTCTGTGCTCTCTCACTGTTAGCGCATAAGCCTGTGGATTCAAGCAGAGGTGTGCTCCTGGTGGCCTTTGCCCAGGGTGGGGCCAGGGAGACAGACAACAGACCAATAGACGCCACCTATCCTCACTGTCATTCTGGTTGTGATGGGGCCCTGTGCAAGGCCGCTGGGCTGCTACTTACAGTTGTGTGTGTTGTGTACTGCACAATCCAGGGGGGCCCCCTGTTTATCTCCTTGTCATCTTAGGTACATGTAGTTACTGCAAATTCCCAGCAGATGTCAGGAAAGTGTTTTGGGGAAGGTGCAGCTTTTCCTAATTTGCTTGGTTGCTGTATTGGCTAATGCCGGCCCTGTGTTTCCACTGCGTTGGCCTGGAGAAGTCAGTTTCTGAGGGCCAGGCCTGAGGATGTCCACATCTGACACTGCCCAGTACTCGTTGGCCAGAGCATGCCAGGAGCGATGGCCGGCCAGCGATGCCGGGGCCCCTGGGTCCTTCTCTCAGCCAGCGGAACCGCCTCTGGGATGGGTGGCCTGGCTGGGGTGGTGGGTGAGCCAGGACAAGGGCACGGTCACCCCTGCAGACCGGCCCACGAGTGCTGCTGGGGCCTGGGGTCCTGTCCTGAGGGCAGGGCTACTCCCCCTGGGAACTCACACGTGGACGGACCCTGGCACAGGACGCAGGCCGGCGTCTTTGTGTCCCTCCCGCCACGCCCTCTGACTTCCACTCCATGCTCCTGCCTGACCACACTGTCTTTCCGGGGTCCAGTAAGCGTGCCCCCCCTGTTCTGGGGCTGTGCCGGGACCTGGCCGCTGCATCTGGGTCCGTTCCCCACGGATCCCCTGTGTCCTGCCTGCAGCTCGGTCAAGTCCGCTCAAAGAACCTTCCTCAAGCTCCCCACACTGATGGTGCTTTGGGATCCCGGCCAAACCCCAGCTGATGTGCTCACCCGGCCAGTTCGGTCTTCCCAGCGCCCCGCCGACTGGCTTTCTCACCCTCTCCGCACCCCTGCCTCCATACAGTGTTCGCAGAACTTGAACGTGGGACAGTTTAAGTGACCTGCCCGCGGCTGCCCGGCCAGGTCCCCGCAGAGCTGGGATGGGAAGCAGAGCTGACTCTCCGACCTCAGCCCCGGCCCCAGGGCTGTCCCTTCGTGAGGCATTCGGCTTCTGGATGGTGACCGTCCTCCGCGGGCCTCCTGTCTCTGACACCGGGGTCCCTATGGCCATCGATTGGGTTGTCGGATGAAGGCCGAGCACGGCTGTCACGCATTAGCCACAGTGGTCACTCCGGGTTCTCAGAGACCAACTCGGCGACACGTGCTTGGTGTATCAGCACCAAGCGGAGGGCCAGTGCTGTGGCCCAGAGTCACCTCCTTGCATGTCTGGGCCACACTCCAGTAGCCCTGGCCCTCTGCAGGCCTCCTGGGAGCCCGTGTTCAGGTGCCTCTGTTTTCTGGGTCTCGGTGAGCCTGAATTTTCTCCGCCTGCTGGAGCCCCAGCAGCTCCTGCCTGTGTGGGAGGAGGGATCTGCCGCCTGGAGAAGCCTGGTGCATATTTTGTGCCAATCTGAACCGTGTGACCTTTCACGGGCGTCCCCGTTCCGTCATCAATACCGCAGATGGCCGGCCCCGAGGCTTCACCCCCTTCACACGGCTTTTCGGGTCCCCCGTGGGGGAATTTGAGCAAGAACAGTGACCCTTAACTGGAAAGTTTATATTCACCCTGCAGATAGTTTGCTTTTGTCTCTTAAAAATGCCTTTTCTTTCCCCAGGACTTGGCATCTCTGGCCGCCCCGCAGGCCACCCTGCCCGTTCCTGGGCCCGGCATCCCCAGGCGCCAGCTCTGGGCTCGCTCCAGAGTCCAGATCGGAGGAGGGAGGGGAGGCTTGCAGCGGGGGGTGGTGGCAAAGAGGCCCCCTCTGATTCGGTGACGCCATCAGCCGCCTCTCCACACGCTCCCTCCTCGAGTGCCTCGTGCCTCGTTCCGGGTAACTGAGAACAGCCGCCCGCAGTGGGAGCCATTTCTCCTGGTCTGTGCGGCGTGGTGGGGGTGGGGGTCCCGAGGACCGCTGGGGGTGTGGCCGCACCACCTTCCCACCTGTGTGTG